AGTCAACCCTGAGCCGGTGAGATTTGAACCGCTGAACTGCTGATCTAGCAGTAGCCTGCAGTGCTGCATTTAACCACTGCGCCACCTTGGCTCTGCCCAACTGCTGTTAAAGCACCTTCCTTCAATCACCACCTCCCAAAAGAAGTAACAGACTGAAGGGACCATACAAAGCCAAAGCTTCAGCAGCAGCTCAAAACATCATCCTATATAGCAAGAGAGGCCAACTAACTTGACGATGACTAAACAATGGCTGAAGACTTGGTCATGAGCTTGGGCAACAAAGGAGAACAGGATTGTTCATAGGTGTAAGTATAGACATTAATGTAAGTATAGCAGGGAGAGGTAATAAGTTAATTTGGATAAATTTGTTAAGCTTTTCCTCCTAATAAAAGCCTCTGAGGCAGCACAACTGTCTCTCATCTGGTGGTCTTTCATACCTGCCAAGACTGCTAATACACCTTTATCAAACACTTTCCACTTCCCCCTAACGTGCGTTTCTGATTTTAACCACATTCTTCCTAAATCCTCTAACTTTGTCCATTATTCTCTTGCTCCTTCCGGTGAAGGTTAAGAGGTATTCTATAAATCAGGGATGTCAAACTCAAAGCCCATGGGCTGAATCCGGCCTGCAGGGTGCTTAGACCTGGCCCACGGGGCTACTCTGCAAACAGTGACGAACCAGCCCTCAGTTCCTCTGCCAGCAAAAATGGAGCTCCGTTTTCACTGGCACAGGGTTGCAGGAGGTCGTCGCAGTTCAAATCGGAGCTCAGGAGCCCATTTTTTGCTGGCACAACATTCGGACCTCCACAGGCACCCCCAACAGGAGTGATGTCAAGCTAGCCATGCCCACCCTGGCCATGCCCACATGACCATGGGGATGTTGCAGCAGTCATAAGTCACTTTTTCCATTGTAACTCCGGTCACTAAACAAATGGTTGGAATTTGAGGACTCTATATATATATGCTATAGTCATCCTTTCAGTTTAAATAATATTGCATCCACAGTTTTGGTTTCCTTTTCCTTTTCTTTTTCTTTTCTGTAATTAACACAGCTGTGGGTTTTGTTCTTCTAAGTAGTTGTCATTCACAACAAGTCCAACAATATTGGCTGACCTCCTTGGTTCTTCCTGGCCAATGAAATCTATCTAGGATTCAATATAAAATTCTATACCTAGATGTTCAGCTAATGGGCTTTCAATAAACCAACTGAAGGATTTGTTTTCTGTATCTGTGGGAAACGATGAATTGTTCCAGGGTCTCCTTAGTGTCAAAATAGTTGGCTTCTTAAGGCTGGAAGCAACCATCAGGATAAAGTGCAGCTTAGCAGCCACCTGATGGTAAGAGCCTACCCCCAGGAAGAGACCCTAGACCAGGGATGTCCAACCTTGACAACTTTAAAACTTGTAAACTTCAATTCCCAGTATTCTGGCTGAGGAATTCTGGGAGTTGAAGTCCACAAGTCTTAAAGTTGCCAGGTTTGGAGACCGCAAGCTCTAGACTATCAGAACAGAACCAATATAGGTTACCTGATTCTTATTGCCAATTTAGTCAATGTGCAAATATTCTCAACTGGACCAACCTACTCCAGATGCTTTGACATGCAGCCATGCCAACCCACCTATCCTTCCCTACTAGTTGTTTATGAAGATGGTAAAGTTCCTGTAAAGTGGGTAGATGAGGCTTGAGTTCAGATTCTGGATTTTTGGCAGCAAAGCAATAAGGATCATTAGTGATAGGCTCAGCCTCTCTACATCTGTTCTCTTCAGTGCCTCATCTTGTTTTTCCTCCCTTATCTGAAATATTCACAAACCACTGGGAAGACATTTTCCCAAATATGAATGCTCCAGATGTGTTAGGCTAGAATTCACTTCACAAGGGAACGATGGGAAGTTGTGTCCAGCATATACAATGAGATCAGAAAGAGGTAATATAGAATGTTGTTTATATAAGTGTCAAATAACCCAAGTCTTTTGGCTGCCATGGTCTGGAAATCAATCTTTCAAAACCATTTGTGGAGGATCACAGGCAGCTTATGGAAGATCTTATTACATTAAACTTGGAACTGCATTGAGGAAACCTTCAGGAATAAACATATATTCTTCAATTTCACGAAGTCCAGGTTTAGCTTTACAGTTCTGCTTCACACAAGACACTAACTGATGAGTGACATTCCCAAAGCAACAAGGGTGGGAGTGAGGGGAGTGAGAGCTGACTGTCTCCGAGAACAGAACCAAAATTGAATCCCCCCCCCCACAAAAGTACAAAATGACATTCCCTCTGAAAGCTTAACAAACCAAAGAAATATAAACTAAGAAGCACCTGCAAAAGTCATCTTTAGCAATGGGACAGATGTTTCATGATTATAATGCAGAACTGAATCAACCCAAAATAAAAGCAGAAAGTCAAAGGGGAACACTAAACTTATTTTGTAGTCACTAAACTGGAGTGCTCCTAATATGTTACTACAGTATACATGGACCTCAATTTACAATCAGTATTGGGTCTGAAATTTCCATTGCTTAGTGAAGTAGTTGTTAAGAAGTCATGCCCAATTTTATGACCTTTTTGCCACAATGAAGTGAATCATGAGGTCATTAAGCAAATGAAGCTTCCCCCACTGACTTTGTTGGAAATTGGCCGAGGTGGTCAAAAATTGTAATCACATAATCCTGCAATCATCATAAATACATGACTGTTGCCATGCACTCTGAATTGTGATCATGTGAGTATGGACATGTTGCAACAGTTATATGTATGAGGACAATTGTAAGTCACTTTTTTTCAGTGCCATTGTAACTTAGAACGGTTGCTAAACCAATGGTTGCAATTCAAGGACTACCCCATCACACTCTGCCTATCACGCTCTGCCAGCACAGGCAATTACAATCCAAATAAACTTTCGTAATACTATCTGCTATTTGCTATGGCAAATCTAGGCAGCATACTAAAAAGCAGAGACATCACCCTGCCAACAAAAGTGTGTCTAGTCAAGGCTCTGGTTTTCCCAGTTGCAATGTATGGCTGTGAAGTTTGGACCATAAGGAAGGCTGACTGCCAGAGAATGGAGGCCTTTGAACTCTGGTGCTGGAGAAGACTCCTGCGAGTCCCTTGGACTGCAAGGCGATCAAACCTGTCAGTCCTAGAGAACATCAACTCTGACTGCTCTTTAGAAGGCCAGATCCTGAAGAGGAAACTCAAGTACTTTGGCCACCTAATGAGAAGGAAGGTCTCCCTGGAGAAGAGCCTAATGTTGGGAAAGATGGAGGGCGAAAGAAGAAGGGGACGATAGAGAATGAGGTGGCTGGAGGGAGTCACCGAAGCAGCTGGTGTGAGCTTAAATACACTCCAGAGGATGATAGAGGACAGGAAGGTCTGGAGGAACATTGTCCATAGGGTGGTGATGGATTGGACTTTGCAACTAACAACAAATACCATCTGGGAGCACTGTCAGTTCAAAGTTTCTCTTATACTAGTCAAATTGTAATTTTTTGTATCCACTTGGGGCATTTCAGAGGCTTGAAGTGTCAATTTCCAATTTACAAAAGAAAAAAAGGGAAAAAAAACTATTCCATTGAAATAAGAAAACCCATCTAAAGCTGAGCCATACAGACACTGAAAATAAACCCACAATGCTTCACAACTAAGCTGAGGTATATAGCAGATTTGTTTGTTTATTTAACAGATCTTTGTTCCATATTTTAAAATCCTCACTTTTTACAAGCAACTTTGTACTTCAGGAAAGCAACAACACAAGATTGCAAGTTACTAAAGCCAACTTCCAGATTTGTTCAGCTACAATTCTCAGAATTCCCACAATTCAATTACAATTCTCAGCATTCACAAAAAGCACTTTAGAAGTCACAGCCAAACATATCTGGAGGGCACCTAGTTGACCAATGCTGTACTAAAACAATTAAAAAAAAACATTACTTGCATAAGCTAACTGGTGTCTATGTCAATATTTTGATAAGAAAATTAAACAGGCTACTCACCCCAGCAAGACACTTTTCCAGTGTATCCAAAATAATCAACTGAGAAAGATATAAGTTCTTTTCAGCAGCTTCACTAAATATTCTCTGTAAGAAAAAAAAAACCATTCACAAGATCAATTTAGTTTTTGGTTAAAAAAAAAAGCTGACTTATATTGAGCCCATTTTTGTTGGCAAAGCGCTTGGACCACTACCGGCACCTCCAACACAAGTGATGTCAAGCTGGCCACACCCACCCTGGCCATGCCTCCCTCAGCCCCACCCCCACCCCCGGTCAAACAACCCTGATGCAGCCCTCAATGTAATAAGAGTTTGACACCCCTGCTCTATAGCTTTTGAATGAGCAACCTCATTACACTTCACAAATCCTCCAAACATAACAAACGATAAGATAAAATATAGAGGAAAATAAAGTAAGAACAATCTATCCTCTACACAGTAATCAGTAATCAACCCCAAAGTATAATTTCTGCAGACTGCAAAAGTACATTTAATGACAACTTTGTGTTGTTTTAGCATCTTTGTCTGCCAGAGTTTTACATAAAATTCTTCTGGTTATCCAGGAAGTCACCTAATGAGGGGGTGTTAGAAACTTATTATGAGATGCGAGATTACAGAAGTTACAATACAGATGGGACTGTAGCCTTTAAATGTTAATTCTTTTCGAGAACTTATTATGCGCCATCCCATTCCAATCCTGACAAACTAACACACACTAAATCTTCATATCACTTTCAAAACATGGTGCTATTATCTCCCTAGAATTAAATGCCAAGGTCTAGAGCCGGGGTCCTCAAACTTTTTAAACAAGGGGCCAATTCACGATCCCTCACTGTTGACAGGCTGGGTGGGTGTGGCTAGGTGGTCATGTGACTGGGTGGGCGTGGCCAACTTAGCAGTCCATTAAACAATACACACAAATTAAACTTTAATTTGTTATGCTCCTGGGGGTGGAAATCAGATTAGTGAAGAGATGCGGCTGCCTTGGGGTGGGGATTTGAGGGACTTCTCTGTGTGTGTGTGTGTGCCTGTCTCTCTCCCTCCCCTCTCCTTCTCTCCCTCCCTTGAGGCTGGGGAGGCCAAAAACAGGCCCATTTTTGGCTGCCTGAGGCCTCCATTCATCCTGTTTTTGGTCACCTCCAGAACATTGGGGGGGAGGCTGGTGGGTAGGTGTGGCGATGTGGGTGGGGCAGTCTCGTGGTCCCTCATGGACTGGATTAATGGCTTCAGCCGGCCATATCCGGTCCACGGGCCGTAGTTTGAGGACCCCGATCTAGAGGGACCTACTGTTCCCAGCAAGAAGACCCCTAATTTCAGTTAAAATCAAGCATTTTCCCTCAGGAATGGACAGAGACAGGACGACAAAATAAGACATATGCCAATACACAAGCAGTTCTTTTCCCAAAAGAAGCACTAGTTACAGAATCAAATATTTAACCATTTTTCCACCATGGCTACAGAAGCTGATGGAAGTTGGCAGAAATGCCTAAATTGACTGTTTTGATCAAAGAAAAGAATATAACTAGTTTTGCTACTACAAGGAGATAGCTTCTGGACTTTGTGCTTGAGGTGAAGGAGGGGGGAATGAAACTTTGATTTTGAATTTACTGATTAGACTGATTTGTTTTTATAGAAATGGCTAGTTTATATTATTATGGAAAAGTAAAAAGTTGAGGCTTGATGTTAATGTTTCATTTTACTGCAACAGAACACAGTTTTGCTTTTTTTCCCTCCCCCGCCCCTTATTTTTCCTGTTTTCCCATTTGCTTTTGTATTTTTGTATCTTATTCTATAATCACATACACTTCAGGTCGCCAATGTTTTATATAAAATTAAACATTATGGGTTTTTTTCTGCTTTTTTCTTTATGTAAAGTTCCATTATATAGAAACGAACAATGTGATTTATCCTTGTTATACCAAGGATATAACTGATCTATATTTAACCTGTCTTGATGGGGAGGGTGTTTTTTGTCATATAACTTTACAGATAGGAAATGAATGTATTGCATTTTCTCAGAGCTGCAAATTATAATAGGCATCCAATTCTCGTTAAAGATAGAACCCAATAGGTATTTATCTACCTACGTAGACTTTAAAAAAATCATTCTCTAGCTCCACATCAAAAGACTATGTCAATGAGAAAACATCACTTACCATGTTGTTAACATTTTTTAAGATATTTGTGAGGCCACTGATAACCAGAGAGAACTTATACTTGGAAATGTTGATGAGACATTCCTTGTTATGTTCCGTGCTGACTTTGGTGTGAGTATTCTGCTGGCTGGTTTTGATTGGAAGCTGCAATAAAAGGAAGTTTGGAAAGCTGTTATACAGAAGAAAATTTACAGTATTGTACAGTTTATTATGCAAAGATTAGAGAGCCAGTTTGGCCTAATGGTTAAAGTGCTGTCCTAGAAACCAGGAGACAGAATTCTAGTCCGGCCTTAGGCATGAAAGCTGGATGGGTAACTTTGGGTCAACCCATTTCACAGGGTTTTTCATGGGGAAAAATAGGAAAAGGAAGGAGTATTATGTAAGTGCACTGCCCTGAGTTACTTAGAAAGTAATAAGGGCAGGATAAAAAATCAAATAGCAATAGCAATAGCAGTAGACTTATATACCGCTTCATAGGGCTTTCAGCCCTCTCTAAGCGGTTTACAGAGAGT